GAAGTGAAACGCTAGCTAATTCTAATTTTATGTATGACTAATAAGATAGGAATAAAGACGGGTTAAATGTATAGTAGAAATAAATTATATGGAAAAGACGTTCATTTTGGGAAAAAGGCTCTATAGTTCTCTTTTTAAAAAGATCGAACCGAGAGATCAAAAAAATATTTGAATTTTGATCATATAGCTTCCTTTTGCTCTTTTAATTTTTAAGTAGCAAGATTAACCGAATAAATGTTTGAAAAAGAAAATCAGTATGTTCAAAATATAAAGAGTAATTATTTTAGAGTATAAAATATTTCAAGAAAATTCTCATATATTATCGATTTTATTGTTTTGATTAACTTTTTTTAATCAAAATAAAATTGATTAATAGGACGATGCGACATTTTAATACTCACTGATCATGCAGTCTCTAACTCATTCATACAAGATGATGTATTAACATTAAAACAAGATCTTCAAAAAAATATATGAAATTTAAGTTTAGTGAGGCAAATATATTAATATGGATCTCCATAATCTAGTTGCAACTTAATTTAATATTGCAATCTCAATTATAATATTGTGATTAAAGAGTCGAGATAAGTTTGCTTGTAAATTATGTTAACCTTTTATTAATTATTCTCTTCATTTTAATATAAAATTGATGTATATATAAAATATTTGTTTACTAACGATATATATACGCTTAAGAATTAATCAAACTTATTAACATGCTTTACATACATATGATTGCAATTTATTTTTAATTTTTCATTCACTAAATATCTATATTTGAACTCGACTAAATATACGCTAAAAAGTCTCACATTAAAAATAAAGCACCCCTAACAAACTTTACCAAACCTTATCTTTACCTACTTTTTCTTTGTCTCCCTATTACTTTTGTAGCGGCACTCATTATTTTGTTATATTCCTAATTCCATATATGATAATATTATTCGTTTTTAGAGTATCATTTTTGTGCAAATACACGTATATCACATTGCTATAATTTGAAAGATTGTTTAAAATGGTTAATGACATAAGCTATGCATTACATATTTTATTGTTTTAATTATTACTATTATAATCTCTCCAAGTTAAAATTAGTAATAGCTAAACAAAAAATTTAGGATTTTTTTTTATCAAATGCATTTTAAAGTTGTCTGGATAAATTAAAGTACACACTGCAACTAATTGAACGGCTTGTTACCTCTATACATATCAAAAGTGAATTTCCAAAAAAATTTAACATGAAAATGACAAACATACCTTTTGGAGTACAACTTCTTGCGTTTGTTTCATTCAATATTTCCATTATAAACCTAAATATTTTTGAAAAAGAAAAGTATATTCTATGGCGTTATAATTAGTAAAAAAAAATATTATGCAAATATATATTATTTGAAAAGTGCCGAGACTTTAATGTAATTGAATCAAAGTAGATTGTAAATTAATGTAATTTGACTTATTACAACAAATGAATGACCCAATCAATATTGAGATTGATCGTTTGACTTATTATCGTTAAAAAATATTTTTGTTATAATGTAACTTACTACATTAATCTGCATAGTTGTATCAATCTGAAAATGCCAACGAAAAAGACAAGAACATTTAAAACAATAAGATATTATACCTAATAATAATAAAATACGTATTCTAATAATCCATTCCAATCTACATGGCGTCATCACAAATCAAGATTCATTTTTTAATTTATATATTTACAAAACTAGCCTTCCCCTTTCATGAAAAGTTGCGACTTTAATGAAAAGTTATGGTTTTTATGAAGAGTTGCGACTTATACGAACAGTTGCAACTTTTATGAAAAATTGTAACTTCTATGAAGAGCTGCGACTTTTATGAAAATTTGTGTCTTTTATGAAAGGTTATGACCTTTCTGAAGGGTTGTAACTTTTCCAAAGAGTTGTGACCTTTCGATAAGGCACAATAAACATTTGTTTACACTACCCTTTGTTGTCTAGCTATAAATAGAGGGATTTTCACTCATTTTAAAACAACGACAATTCTGAACTTCTTCTTCTTAACTTACACAATTAAATATTCATGTACAATTTTTTCCTTTATGTTTCATCCTATTGTTATAGATTTTGGTATGTTTTTTTACAGTCATTAATTTATGCTTATGTTATTAGTTGTTGTTTTTGAGTACATGTTTTAAACTTTGTTTTTTATGTTTCTGCAAAATTATTGTTATAAGTATTTGTTAGTATAGATTAAACAACACACGTTAATTGAGTATTCACGCAAGTTTTCTCTATTGATCATGAAATTGTTGAAGGTACAGTAAAAAAATTCCTTAAAGATCTATACTATTATTTGTCATTTTCACATAACTCAAGAACATCTGATGAATGAATTATTCAGGAAATAATAAATCATTGGTTCTTTAATCAATATTAAAAGGAAAAAAAAGAATAAAATAAGAATATATATACACAAAGGCATTTCGTAAGAACAAGAACACATTTAAATTGCATAGATTTTATAATTGTGATATATGTCTCAGGAAAAAATTCAAAAAATTGTTAACATATTCAAAAAAAAAATTACTTACATTATTAATGTTTGTTATATGTAATCAAAGATAAAATAGTATTTTAGTTTTAATGACTCATATGTTTTAAGTATTGTTTTATAAATTCAGTGATATTAAATTCCCGCGCGAAGCGCGGATGATTTTACTAGTACTTAAAAATAACAATAAAAAAATAACGAGGTTTTGAAACGGTAGCTTGCTCTGGTGATTGAGTATCTTTAACGAAGGTCCGAGTCATATTGGAGAATAAGTAAGAACACTATTGATCCTTTTGTAGGGGGTAGAGTTTAAAGTTAACTACTTGGACAAAGAATATGGCTTTTCATATTTTAAAAATTAACAGTTTCGTTAAAATTAAAAATTTATATCGATAATTTAATCGTACAATTAAAAAATTGTAGCAACCAACATTTCCCTTTTTTTCATTTCAAATCAGTTTGAAAAAATGGCTGAATTTAATGTCAAATATATATGCAATGTAAAATAAGTTTGAACAAAACTATACCCTAAATTCCTAGCAATTTCAAGGCAATTAATTATTTGACTTTTATGAACTGAGGTTGCAAATTGCAATAACAATGGACAACATAATAAAATTGGCTGAAAATACGAAGGTAAACGTGAAGTTTTTGTTTTATTTTTGTTCAAATAACAAGTGCATATTAAATTAACCAAGAAGAAAATGTTACAAGTTGCTATTTTATAAGCAATTTATAGTCGATAACTTGACAATTTTTTTGTTTACGCTAGCAAAAATTGTTCATACGGCATAAATGTAGATCGTTATCAATCTTATACCAGATATAATTTAATGTAAATAATATTCTATACGCTAATTTTTCAACCCAATTGCGTTGGCTTTGTATTTTACGTTTTAAATATATGTTAAAAAACTCCTTAATTGTCGATCTCAAACTCTATATTATATACCATAAAATACATATATAAAAATGTCATAAAAATCGATATTGTAGGACCAAGTGAGGTATACAAGGAATATTCCATGAGATACTCAATTCATCATCTTTTTTTTCTCCTCTTAAATGTAGTACTTAACTTATTAACGTGTCTAGTCAATGGTACTCTAACCTTATCAATCTGTTTTTTTCGATTACGATGTGAATTTATTTGCCACGTTCTTGAATTTGACTAGTAAATAGTACGTATAAAAAAAAGACAAAAGAGAGAAAAGAAATTCATACAGACGATTAATTAATATAAAATGTGTATCTTTCATACGTTTTATTGCGATGATTGTGTTTTATTGATTTAATGTAAATAACGAGATAGACATTTTCTAGATCTTCAACAAAAAAAATATCCATGCATGTATTCTTTCTTTCCTCAACTATTTATGTACATATTTTTTTTTTGGGTTAACACTTTTGTTAGATACTTAACCTTATCATGTTATAGGTCGTGTTTGTGTTTGATAGGTGGAATAAAATAGAGAAAGATATCTCATTGATTGAGATACTTTTTGAAATTATTTATTTGATAAAATAAGTTAATCCTAGAACTAGATGTAATGCCACACACAAGATAAAATAATTTCATATAATATCTCGAAATAATTATTCTTTATCCCTCTAATCAAACAAGTCATTAGGGTGGGTAAGTAAGGATGTACTATAGTAAAGTACCATTTACTGATAATATGGTCATGGAATTTGCTCAAACATCACATCATTTTTATTTGTTTTTCAACGAAAGTCAAAGCTGATTAATCACCAGACCTATTGAATCTGTCTATTAATCTGTTTGTCCAAATTTATATGATATTTTTTGTTCTTTAAGAATCAAACATTTTAAATCTGATCGAGAATTTGTGCATAAAATTTCAATTTTTTAAAATATATATATATAACTAGGTAAAAAAGTACTATAAGTCACAATAATTGACAATTCAAAATATTTTAAAAGATATATGAGAATTTACCATCAAAGATATAATTATTTGAATCTCGGAATTCAAAAAGTTTCATATAAGTTGAGACGGAGAAAATTCAAAAAGTGTCATATAATTGAAACGGAGAAAGTAGTTAGTTTGTATATGATAGTGTATATGTTATTTTGAGTTTATCTATTGTTACTCCACATTTGAAACCAATATAGTTCTAAGAATAATCTAAACATATCAGGTAAAGGGACTAAAGCATAGATTTGAATTAATGGAAGATTAAATTTATTGATTCATAATTGCAAGGATGGAAATCAGAATTTATCAATAATTAGTAACCAAAAAGTACGAATATCCTATTTTAATTAAAATCGTCTGAACTAAATGGGCCTAGTGTCAGATGAAATGACTGGGCCATAGTTATTAGGCCCAAATTAATCAGTAGAGGTCCATCACAGCCCAAAAGTTACATGATAGGCCCATATGTACCATTTTCCCCAAAAGATTTGAAAATTCCCTGTATATAAACCCACACTCTCCCGCTGGATAATCAACGCAAATCACACTTCCAAGTTCCAACTGTTCGACGGAGCAAAATCACAGAGAGAATTCAAATGTATTTACAAATTTGATTATACCTTCATCTGTTAGGGTTCTGTAATTGTTCAAATTGAAGTTTTAATTTCTCGAAGATTTCAATTTTTATAGTATCTGCAAATGAAGTTGAAGATGAACAAAGCATCGGATCTTAGCTCTATCTCTGTTCTTCCTCCTCATGCAAGGTAAAATTCTATCTCAGTTTCACGATTTCATCTTGTATAGAATGAAATTGCGTAGCTCTCTGTGTTTCTGCGTTTTGTTCGCATGCATTCCAATTTGAATGTTTTGAGTGCGACACACATTGCGAGTTGGAGTGAGATAGAGAGAAGTTTACTGTAAATTTGAGCTTCTTCGTGAAAATTCAAGGAGGAACTATCTTCGAATGTATATTGAAGATATTTTGATGCTCTATACACACATATGCATATGTATACATGTTACATGTATGTTTATATGGATAAGAGAGAGAGGTAGAATTTTTTCTGTTATATTGAGCTTTATTTTTGTGTGATGATGATATGAGAAGAACGCCAAGTGCGGAGCCGCTCTGTGTTTTCGCCTACTTCTCCGTGTTTGTGCGATTTTTCTCATACATTACAGGTATTTTAGATGTTTTCATGTCCGATATACACAAACTGTATATATACATATATCTGTCTATGAATGCATGAAGAGGATAGAGAGATTTTAAAATAATATTGATCCTATTTTGATGATATGAGAAGGAGGCCAAGTGTGGTACCAAGTGCAGCAGAGTCTTCCGTTTTCGGGAAAAGCCAACCGTCACTGGTTCGGTCACAGCAGCAATCGCAACAATCCTTCTCACAGGGATTTTCATCTCAGCAAGCAATCTACTCTCAGTTATCACAGAGCACTCTGGATGATTTTGTCCCTAATGAGCAAGTAATTCCTCCATCTCGCTCCTATCTCTTAGTTATTCGAAGAGAAGTTGTTAACGAGATGCCATTTTGGTATACTATACAAAGGAACTGATTCATTTGGTGTGGAATTGATAATGATAGACCTCTAAAAATCATTTTTGTTAGCAACTTCTGAAGAATGCTTTAGATTGTCTAAAATGTATTTTGATGCTAAGCAATACTTGAATCTGTTATATTGTAGAGAATTGTTGCCTAGGTTACTTTTGAGTGTAATTTTGCATTAGTATGCTTTATGATGCTTGAAATAGATGAATTAAGCTTCTGAGTATGATTTACTTTGTTAAATGTTGTGTCAACACACGACACTCACTTTATATGACGTATTTGATTTAAGTATTATATTAGTGAGGGTTGAAAAAATATTGAAGTTTAAGTATGTTTGAACAGCTTTGAAAGTTCTGAAAGTTGCATAAAAGATGAATGATGCCAATATTTTGCAAGGTCCTTAAATGGAAAGAGTGTCAAACAAATTGGGATGGAGGGCGAAGTAGATATTATTTACCATCTTTACTGTACTGGACAGTGAATCATAAATTCTGTTGCCGCATCTGTCAGAATGTTTCTTATTGGTATATGCAAAACAGGAGATTGTCACAGTGCACTTTAAAGTGGTTATCGGCAGTTAGGTCGTAGATCTTCTTAGTGTTCATATACAATAAGTTAATTGATGGACTCTTGACTTTTAAATTGATCATACGCCTTCTTGTTTTCAACTCTGCCCTGTGACAGGGCACATAGTTCCATAAAACTTCCCACTTTATACATTGGAACTTTTCCTCATCGCATAGGAAACAATATGCTGTTATGGGAATTTTACATCTTAAAGCAAACAAATGTTGTAACTGTTAATAATTTTAATGCAGAGATTGGGTTCTCAAGAAAGAGAAAATTCAGCAAAAAGGATGAGCTGTTTGCCTCATATCAACTACACACGAGAAGAGACTCAAATGCAGTTAACAAAACCTTCGACCAATTATTTGCGCAAATGGTCAGTTCCTGAAAGCAAATGTAAGCCATAATCCACCATCAGAAACTACATGCTCTCAACTTCTGTTTAAAAGTTAAGGAAAATGTACTCCAGTTCAGCGCTAATTTGCAGCTGGAATCATCGGACTAAACATGTTTATGAATTCTAATTTTCTGGGCAGACCAGATTGAAGAACTTGAACACAAAATTGGAATGGTAGAGACTTCATTAAGCAGGCAAGGAATGATCTTAGATTCTATTCAGAGTGATATTATGCAAGTTAACCGGGGAACAAAAGAGATATTGATGGAGAGTGAGTATTCACTACCCTTTTAATTTACGTGATGTGGCAAATAATTAGGAACTCCAAAGAGCTCATATCATTAGTCGACGAGTGTGGAGTTTTGTCTTGAGAAGCCTGCTGGTCCGATTAAAACTTTTACTTGCAAATATTCTGGTGGATGTAAAAAAAATGGCAACAAAACCTAACACATTTGTTTTTCTTCTGAATTTTCTTTCAGTGGAAAGCTTACGACCGAAGTTAGTTTCTCATGATGAACTGTTGCAATTGATGGTAACTATAGCTTAGCTTCTCTGCCTACATCCAGAAATTAAGTGCCTGTTTGTTTTATCACATTTCCTAATCCATGTGGCATACAAAATTAGAACAAGGAGAGGGAAGATCTGAAAGCTTGCCTGGAGGGAACCTTCAAATCCATGTTTGAAGAGCTTAGGGAGAACAAATATCAAGAGAACATCAGAGATCTTTTATCACTGCTTAAAGCTATGCCCAACAAACTTGAGATGTGCATTTTGCAACTTCAAACTGATTTGAGAAAGACCTTGGCTAAAGAGATTCAGGCATGTTGCATATTGAAACTAACTTTTTTAATTCATATTTAGGCTACCCTCTGTGGTTGGATTAATACTGCTTCATCTATATTCCTATTGCTTGCAGATAATTACCCCCCGCCAAGATTGTCATGGACAAAAACATGAAACTGCTCCAGTCGATCCACCAAAAGTACGTTTTCAAGTTTTCTCCAAATTCCATATGATTTGTATGAGTATTGAGTGTAATGAAGAACGCAATCAGAAGTCTTAGTGCATTTGAACATTTGTAGGTCATCAATGATTGTAGCCCTCCCCGTGAAGTAAAGTTTCTAAAGAAGTAAGTTCTCAAACTTCCTTCTCATCGCCATCACTGCAGCCATAGTTTTGAAATCTTTAAGTAGCAATTAGTAATCAGTAGCTCTCCAGTATGCAAAGCTCATAATCACTTGATGGATCTCTTATAATTTGCATCATTTGCGTGCAATATGCATAAGCAGTAGTCATTTCGCAATGCCTCTTGAGATGTGTGCATTGACATTTGAGAACACTTGCGGCTGGAATACACTCTCTGTCATCAGGAACTACTTAGGTGACAAATAGATGTGAAGATTCACCGCATAGTGTCTTTTGATCCATAGCATAACCCGAAAGTGAGTTATCCCCATTTCTCACATTAGCTATATGAAGGAAGAAAGGGAAAACAAAGGAAAGCACTCCCCTTATTCCTCGAAAAGCTAGCCTTCATGATAAACCAAATGAAATAAGAAAAATTTAAGAACTTTGCTATAGCTTCAACAGAAATCTTATAGATACTTGTTTACAAAGTTTTTCTGATCTTTCTAACATTGAGCGACTTAATTCTTCATTTCTGTGCAATTGCAAATCACCAAACATTTCTTTTCACTTCTGGTTCAACTATGAATCTCAGAGATCAGAAAACAACCACGCCGCGGAAGATTGAAATGGGAAGCTGGACTACAGTAAAAATTAATCAAACTTGTATGAAGCAGAAAATTCCCATCAGAAATCACACAGAGAATGAAGCATTTCAACAGGTAACTCTCTCATTGTCCTTAAGCAAACAAATGTTTGTTGAGTTATGAGCAACAGTTGCTTCCTTTGTATGAAATGGGAAGCTGGACTACAGTAAAAAATAACCAAACTTGTATGAAGCAGAAAATTCCCATCAGAAGTCACACACAGAATGAAGCATTTCAACAGGTAACTCTCTCATTGTCCTTATGCAAACAAATGTTTGTTGAGTTATGACAAACAGTTGCTTCCTTTGTATGAAACGGGAAGCCTGGACTACAGTAAAAAAATAACCAAACTTGTATGATGCAGAAAATTCCCATCAGAAGTCACACACAGAATGGAACATTTCAACAGGTAACTCCCTCATTGTCCTTAATGTTGCAGTTGCTTCCTTTGTGGCATGAAACATCCAAAAAAGAAACAATGGGGTTTTAGATGTTGTATTTATGATATGTCGTAGTCCATCTCTGAGGCCTTCAAGTTGAAGTAGCAAAAACTACTTTGTTCAGCACACCACATTTTTTGATAACTTGAAACTGTGTCATCCTTATTCTCAGAGCTGAGAACTAACTGGCTATCCATTTCAGGAAAGGGGATGTAGAATTACCATTGAATCTGATGAGGATATTGACGTGGGCTTTTCCTGCTTGCTTGAAGAAAATGGAACAGGTAATTTGCACTTCTTGCCTGCATCCTTCATTTTTGAGGATTTCACAATAAGCAAGGTGATTCTACATCCTGTAATTGATCAATGTGCTTATTGACCCATGCATGTTGAACTTATCTAATAAATTCAAGATCTATTTAGATGTATATCAAATTATATCCTATATCTCAAGACTGACTACTGACAAGAATGACTTTTCCATACTTCTAGTCAAGCAGAACGCCTAAGATATATTATATGAAATCAAATACATTAGGTAACAAGTCAGAACATGTCTAAAATCCTGAAGAATCTGTTACACTCCATACTATGAAGTTTTTCTCAAACCAAAGAGAAACTGATAGCTCTCTCTTCCCTTTGCCTGTTGGGGTACAGTAGGGGATTTGAACCTGTTCTCAGGTTTAGTGTCCCGAGGGATCTTGTTTATTTTCTCTGGAATAGTCTCATTTCGAGTCTGTCTAAAATAAGAAATTTTGAGCATCATAACTGCAGCAACAAGTGTTCTTTTACACAGACTGAAACAATCAATCGTATATTTTTTTTGTCATTTGCTAAGATTTGCGTGCTTAAACTTGTCTTTCCCTTAAAAGACCCAGGGATTTATCCACTAGATGATGCAAAGGAAGAGAGTGCACGCATATTAAGGAAAGCAAGGAGGCGAAAGAGAAAGCATTTTAACACTATCATTATAGATTGAAGGTACACAGTGAATTTATAATCTGCTGAATCAAGGTCCTGTGATTTGATAAGCAGTAAAAAATGTATTATTGATTCTTCTGTCTTTCTTTAGCCGATATAGGACATGTTTGCTATTTGACTTTTCATTATTATTAGAAAATCCACGACTGACCATTACATAGCAAGCAAAATCTGTGTTGCTGCTGCAATACTCAGTCTTAGGTGATTGTATAACGAGATGTCAACAGACTCAGCACCATAAGAATATGTAATGCACTGGGATTATATAAGCAAAATGATTACGATGTTTTAAATTTTGAATTGCATAAAGTTGGCTGGTTAGATCATTGCATCTTCTGTATACAATGTTTTATTAGCTAATGAGAGTAAATATTATGCTAGTAAATTTTTCAGCGTGTGATATTATACCATGATAGAAGTATATAATATGGAAAAGAGAATCCTTTTCAACTGTGCTAGAGAACTTAGAAACACCTAGTTGAGAATGATCTACCAAGGGAAAAAAGGAAGGTCGGAGAGGTTTTACTTATTCCTGGACTTGGATGGTCAGTATTTTTATTGGGTTACATTCTGTACTACTCTTTTGTCAAGATCCTGAAGCCTAAATAAGAGAACCATTCTCTCCTGGTAAATCTATTCACGTAATTTTCCTTAGAGCATAAATATCGTGTGGAATTTATTCTTGTTTGCTCATAAGAATCTATAGATCATCCGTCATGTTCCTTGCCTGTTGCTTTTGGTGTATGTTAGGTTCCTTATTGACTTAGTTAAAGTTCAGCCTAAAATATATTCAAAAAGAGAAACAAAAAAATGGCTTAGTCTAAGTAGCATAGGCATTACAAGCCACATCGAATTGCACTCGTGGTGTATTCTTATTAATGTAATTAAGAAGCATGCTCAATACAAATTCTCTACAAGAGTCATGCGTGGGTTGCTTCTTCTCTTTGAATACCATCCAAAAGTCCAAACAAACTTTCGTTGGCTGTAATAGGAAGTTTCCCTTCCTGCAGTCACCTACTATGCCTCCATACATGACTGTAAAACTCCTTAAGTTCAAAACAGTCACTTTTGTAAGTTGAACTAATTTTCAGGACCCACATTTTAATTGAGACAAATGAAACTTTTAAGCATCCTAATTGCTGTTCTTACTCCTTAATTGTTTCAATTTATGTGACATAATTTGAAATGTAGACTTTTAAAATGGGATATAAAAGTAAAAACATCTCTCTCTGGCACCAACGGTGAGTACGGTTATGGTTAGGGCTTTAGCAGGTCTCATGATATTAACATTTGTAAGATTATGGGTAAACTGAAAAATGTAAAAGTTAATTGTTTTTAAATATAGAGTTGTGTCATCCTTCTTTACATTAGGAGTATATGGTTATTTATTCATTTAATTTGACTTTCTCAACTCTCATCTATCTAATTAGGCAAACAGCGGACTTTAAGTTTAGATTACTTCCACTTTATTCTTATTCATGAATGCTTAGGCTTTGAAAGTCTTTATGTTGACTGTTCAATCATCTTTATGTAGTCATGGTTCTTGCCAGCTTTTCATTTTTCCCAATCTAATTTGTTTTCTCTTGAATAATTGTTAGTTGAAATATTTGTTTAATCTAATTGCTGTATCCGTCTTCTATTTCTGCTACACATAAAAACCAAAACAATGGTTTCCTTGTGGCCTGCAGAAAGGGAAAGTAGAAGGGATGACAATTTCTGATGATATCAGAACGCACTATGAAATTGTATACCAAAATGCATGCTTACATATTTTTTACATTATTGTTACGTACAAGCTTCTTTTAGGACCAGTAAAAACTTAAATAATTGTGGGAGAAATCAGAAAAGTAGAAGAAATGAGATATTTTGTTAGTAGTACTATAACTCAAGATGGACCTCCATGCGATCCAGTTTTTAGTAATAACATTGGGAGAAAAAGTAAGAAAAAAAAAAGGAGAAAAGAAGCACCTTTACAAAAGATAGGTTTAGGTCCATAAGGATTGATCCTTTAATTTCACTTTTTCTAAAGAATTGAAGTGCTTTTGATCTGTTCTACTGCATTATTCACTTGGGCATATACACAAATTTGCACATGCTTTGCTCCCCATGTGTAACTTTTTTTTAGCTTGGTTGAAATGATAAGTTTGTCTAAATTAGTCACATTTTTAATCTTCATTTTTCTTAAGCTAAAAGCCTAACCTTTTTGACAATTACTCTGACTTTTACCCCTTTTTATTAGATCTGTAAAACTCATTTCTAGGACTAGAAAGTGTAAAAAAAAAAAGAGGAACTTTGTTGGCTTTGGGTCATATAATGGAACATTATATGGGTTGATGGTGGGAGGGTAACAGGGTTCCTGTGTCCTATTTTGTCTTCATAATGGTGAGTTACGGAATGTCTCATTTCAAGTACTCCGTACCGTTTCCTCCAAGCATATCATAAATTGAGTTATTTGATATTTGTGCCCGCGGGCATAGTTAGAATTAATTTGAATTGTTTTTGTCAAAAAAAAATTACATTATATATACATATACAAGGTTAATATTTTGAATTTACTTGATGAAAATCGTAATTTCGCCATTATCTGTGTTATAGGAGGGAGAATATTTTGTGAAATTAGTGGAGCCTCGGAGGTATGCACTAATCACAATTATATAAAAAAAAAATAGAAAAAAGTATTCCAACCCTTTTCAAATATTAATAGTTTTGGACTTTTGGTTAGTTAAATTTATCTCAAAATATTTGATATTTGAAAAACAAGATATTATTTACTTACTTTTCTTTTTTCTTTTAAATTTTATATAAAAAGGGTAGTTTAGACACATAACTTCAAAGGTTATTAAATATCTTCTTTATCGAGTGTACACGAATATTAAAAGGCAAATTATGAGCCGAAGGTAGCGTATTTGCCATGTAAAGATTAAAAGGACCCTTGATGCTTGAATTTTATTTTTTCTTCAAAAAATACTATAGTTCGTGTATTTATTAATCCAAATAGATATTGTAATCATTAATCAATATAAAATACAAGCGAATGATTTTGTAATATTTATATAATTTTGGTGTTCGAATCAATTTACATGCATCTCAATTAATTTCACAGAATATTTATCATCTTCCACCATCAATATATATCAGATAATTTTGTCTATCAAAATTAGGACATAATAAAATATTTATTTTTTTGTCTTTGCTCAAATTTAAACTTGAGACTTCATGTTTTCAATTCACTTTATTGACAACTTACGAATGATTAATTATATTAGAAGAATTTGATTCTGATAATTTTTTTTAATTCCATCGAATCACAACCACTCTGTCCTACTAAGCACACACTTGGTAATGAGCTTGTATTTTTTTATTTTTTTATATATATATAAAATATCATTTAACAAGTTGATTTGTCAATATTGTTATCAAATCCTATATATATATATATATATATATATATATATAAAGAAACAAAACCTGAGTTTTTTTGTTGATTGTTTAATTATGCTCCTTTGTCTTGTGTCCTTTTCATCTGTCACTTTGATCACTACTTTACCCTTGGATTATTTGCTAAGGAGTATGGATTGTAAGCTGATTTATTTTTAAAAAAAAATATAAACATACTTAAACAGTAAACAATTTTTTAATTAAATAGCCCCATTGATCTAATTTTGATAGTGAAAATCAAACTCTGAGTCAAGAAAATGATACAAAAATATCTGAAATATGTATCTTATGAAATTAACCGAAATATATGTAAATTAATTTGATCACTATAATTTTAATTAAAAGAATGACATGAGGGCACACTTTGTGGGTGGCAGTAGTTAGGCAAAGTTGATTTATTTTAAAAGAAATCATCATTCCATTTCATCCTTTATACTTCCAACTCATAATATCTAATAAACTATTTTGATCTAGATTACACTTTAAATTCTTACTCATTATTTTAAATTTGACCGTTCTTGCGAGGCACATGCCGCTACGCTTATTAACATTAACACATTTGAATTTGAATACACATTTAAATATTAAGATTCATTTAAATTAATCAGTCACTTAATTACGTTACTACACCATTTTTATCTATACTTTATTCAAAAAAATTTAAATTCTCATTAGATGTCTGATATTCGATTAGAAATCTGATAAATTTGGATTTAAGATATTAAATATAATTCATCCTTCAATAATAAGCTACCAAATATAGGGATAATCCTTCTAATCTCCTAATAAAATAATGACAATTACTAGAATATTGTAAAAAAATTGGAATTACTTATGTTGTCCATGGCATGAAAACAACCCCACCTCAAAAGTATTATAAGAAAAAAGCCCCAAAATACGATGATATCATCAGATAGTGCCAATACCTTAAGAAAATCAACTGAAAATGAGAATATCAGACAAAATTTAAAAGAAATGAAAAAAATCCAAAAAAACTATTTCTTTTGGAAGAATTAGCCATCCACCCACCCACCTACCTACAAGTCAAGACAAGTTAATTAATTAAATTAAGGGAAAAGGGTCAAAAATGCCCTTAAACTATGTGAAAGGAACAAAAATGCCCTCCGTTTATAGTTTGGCTCAAAAATGCCCTTACCGTTAATACTTTGGTTCAAAAATGCCCTTCAACTATGTGAAAGGAACAAAAATGCCCTCCCTTTATAGTTTGGCTCAAAAATGCCCTTACCGTCAATATTTTGGTCCAGAAATGCCCCTATAGTTACAAAATGGGTCAAAAATGCCCTTTTCCGAATAAATATATATTTTTTCTTTTTAAACACATCTTCTTCCTAATTAAAATATTATTGAAGAACACTATTCTTGTTTTCTTTCTTCTAAAATCACTTTAACAAATAAAAAGGTAGGAAATATTTTTTTTCTTCTTAATCTCATTTTATCAATTAAAATAGAATAATGTCATGTACCCTTTGGACATATAAAATATGTCATATATAAGATTATAGTATATCCATCATTAATTTATATTTATATAACGATAAAAAATAAGAAATATTTTCATTTTTTATTTTTTTCTAAATTGAAGTAGGATAAACATTTGCTAATTTAAAAAAAAAAAACATTCTTAGAAAAGAATGTGTTAAAAAAAATATTTATTTGAAAAATGAGCATTTTTTACCCATTAAATAACAATAAGGGCAATTTTGGACCAAAATATTAACGACAAGGGCATTTTTGGACCAAACTACAAACGGATGGCATTTTTGTTCC